TGGGCAAATACCAATGTTTCATTGTGGAGGATCAACAGTATTTTACATTGATTGCTGAAACAATTAAGTTCACAAGACTAATTTCCTTTGTTGTATAATATGTGGAATATTCTTTTTATAGAAAATGCAGAATACAACGAAAAAAATCTTAGTACCCTACAGCCACTAAAATTTTCATAAGCCAGTTCATCTCAGTTTGATAAAATGGCACACTTGCGTTCAATCATTAATATTATATTGTTGCTGGTATTTTCAAGTGCTATCGAGTTGGTTCTGACCCATAGCAACCCGTGTAGGGTTTCCTAGGAGAAGTTGGTGAATTTGAACCACCAACCCTGCAGTTCAAATTGACTTTGCATGCAGTCCATTAACCCACAGCGCCTTACATTTACTAAGCAAAATGATGGCAAAACATAATGAAATAATCAATTTAACTGTCAGCCAGATATTGTTATATATTGCTCAAAGATGATCTTTATAAAAAAATAATCATAGAAAACAGAATTCTGAAACCACCCTCCAAACTGACACATCTTCCTAAAGGCAATTTGTGAATTCCGGAAGAAAACAATCAGATTTGGGGGTTCAGCAAGTTTTGGAGAGAGAGTTTGCACTTACCATTAAGCCCAAGTCCAACAAAAGACTTAACAATCATTAGCATCAAGGTGTAATGTAATTGGTACTTGATGATCTTTGTTAATAGAAACCATGTTCCTGTCCTGGGTTGTCATTGAACCAAGGAGATGCTGATACCCTGGCATGCTCACCCTTCTCATGTCAGATGTCAGGTGCCCACCTAGTAGAAGCGGCTATTTCTGTTTCTAGGCCCATTTCCAGAACCAGTTGTGCAGACAAAGAACGGGCCTATTAGTTGACAGCTGCAGAGCAGACAGCCCAAGCTGGGTGCAGATTAGATATTCAAGACTTGCTCCCAGGCTGGCTGTCAACTAATAGGCCACCCTGATCGGGCCTCAGAAGGCAGGTTCACCTGCTGAGATTGCACACCTGCCCAACATTGACAGCCAGGCCACGGAGGAGCCCACACTGTGTCTAGGCTTGACCCTGGCCACAAGGAAGTTCCCCTGCAGAGAGATATGTTAGTGACTAGCCAGGGCTTAAAGCAAAGCTGTGTTTTGGGACTTACATTTTCTTTCAGCTAAAATGTCAAGTCCTAAAGAAAATTCCACCATTATTTCAAATAGGTGATTTGTCTTAAAGTAACGCTTTAAAATTCTAAGCACCGCCGTGAGGATACTCACTTTCTGTAATTCTAGTGACAGAATGTGATTCCACAAGAGTCCATAACAACTCAAAAGACCAGCTATTCAAAAACAACAATACGTCATTAGGAAAACAGAAAGAAATCATAAAATTGTCCACCTCCATTTTAAGTAGACTTAAAAAAATACCGAGAATGAGACATATATAAGAGGTTTTTACCATTTTACAAGCAAATATAGGAAAAAAGAAAAGGCAGGGGAATGTTTCTTCCCTTTTAAGTTACAAATAAGAGTAGATCTCTTTAAAGAAAGAGATTTCACTCTCTTTAGGAAATTCAAGAGAGGCTTACATTAAATCAGATGAACACACTGTGTCAACAAAAGCAATGTTGCTTGAGTTGACTGTGAAAAGCAGCTACCATAAAATGGAATGCATTGTTGTTATTCTTAAGTGCCATCGAGAGAGAGGGTTCTGACTCATAGCGACCCAGTGTGGGATTTCTGAGGAACAGCTGATGGGTTTCAACTGTCCACCTTGTGGTTCACAGCCCAGTGCTGATCCTACAGAGCCACACTAGGAATGCACTGGGTGGTCTTAAAGATAGAGCTAAAACTATTTTGTGTGATTTAAAAGCCTTCAAAGATGATCGTAATCAGTGTTTGAACTACTTTATAAATACTATCAACAGGGAGACAATCAGTCAAAGTTCCATGAGTTGAATGTTTCCCAACAGAATCATAATGCTAAAACTCCCTGAATTATACTGCTAAGCATCCAAGATACCTATCACAGCAAATCCACTCATTAAAAAACATTATAAAGCAATATTTTGCCTATTTGGCTGGCCAACAATGTTTCCTTCTATTCAGAAAATAAAGATTCTACATGAAAAGGAAAAACAGGCATAGGAAATGCATGCATGCATACTTAACATCTGTAATGGTTCAACACTGATTTAGTAAAAAGAATCTAAATCGGGTACCTAAGCTAAAAGATCAAGAATTATCTCGGAATGGCAAAATCTGCTGATCAGGAGCAAAAAAAAATAAGACAAGCCTCATTTAATTTACAACACTCTACCTCATCTCAGCCACCTCAGCTCTGACACCCACGCTGCCCACAGTCTTTCTGGCCATCTCTGTTTGCTACATTAGTATGTAAAGAAAATACACTAGTCCAATGGGCATGAAAAAAACCTGTCTTCTGCTAGGCATATTCTTGCCTCTGTTGAGAACACATCTGAGTCTACTGCCTCTCTAAAGTTTTCCTATGGTTACAGACTACAATGAACTTGTCTCTTAAGACATCTGTAAAACATTCATGCCACTCAATCTGAGCACATAATCATCAACATTGCACTTTTCACATATGTTTGTTTCTGCTTCCAGCTGATGTTTCTTTTGCACACCACATTCCAGCCACAGCCCACTTCTTCCTGGTATTTTTAATATCATAGACTCATAGAAAGTTATTATCTGAACAGACCTTTAGAGATGATCTAGTCCAAGTCTCATATTTAAAATGAACTTGATGAGAGTAATTAACCTTTTATAGCCCAGTGAGTCAGGCAGACCTGGGTTCAAATCCTGCCTCTGGCATGTTCTGGTTGTATAGCTAGGTTTCTCATCTGTAAAAGAGATAATACCTACCTCATAAAACAAAGGTCAAAGGAGAACAAATGAAGATTGTATACACACACACACACACACACAATTTGGACTTTCCATATTTTTTTGTCCTTGTTAAGACACAATCTTTTGGTTGATTTACTTTTTTAGTTTGTACTACATTATATTGCAAGCCCAACAAGCAGACCTTTTATTTCCTATTATATTTTCTAACCTTATGGTGCCTAGTAAAGTGCTTACCATCTTTTGAATAGGTTGTAAATTAAAGAAACCTCTATTATCAGTATCTAGTTCCTCAAGAACCTAATCTGGCATTCTAGACTAGAGTGGAAAGGTTGGCGGTCGGATTCTACCCAGAGGCACCTAAGCAGACAGGCCTGGCTAACTAATTCTGAAAGGTTGTTGTTGTTGTTAGGTGCCATGGCGACCCTGTACAGGGTTTCCGAGGCTGTAAATTTTTAGGGGGGAAGAAAGCCTCATCTTTCTCCCGCTGAGCGACTGGTAGTTTTTAACTGCTGACCTTAAGGTTCACAGCCCGATTCCTAACCACTACGCTACCAGAGAAAGGTAACAGCCATGAAATCTCCCTAAAGCCATCTACTCTCCATACATGGGGTAATCAAGAATCAGAATCAACTCTAAGGCAACCAACAACAATCTTAGTTTAGGCTTTCCTAAATTGTTCCTTCCCAAAACAAACAGGAGTATCAATAGCTCCCTACCTACCCGCCTCTTACAGCTTTCCGTTTGGAACAATCTGAGAAAATCACTGCCTCTCCCACATTTTTGGAATAAAATTAGTATCTTTATCAGGCTATTGAGAAGCCAAGCAGTGATAAATCGAGCAATAGAATTTGGAAGGATTGGAAATCTTTGGAGAACTTCTTTAGGATTTGTGGCATCAAGCCCTTAAATGAGAATTACTTGTCTATAACAAATTCTGGCACAAGTAAACCAGAAACTTACTGGTGAGCTGTCAGTGAAGTTAAATATTGCACTTCACTTTATTCCATGCAAGCAAGCAAACAGTGACTAATAGGATTAACTTGAGCTCAAACACTGAATGTAGATATACTCCAACAAGAAACAGGTTCTATTAGCACTAGTGTCAGCCGCAGGTAGAAATTTTCTATTAAACGGAGCATAAATACTGCTTTTAAAATGTCTACTAAAAATATTTGCTCCGTATGCCAAAAATGTCATGTATTTTCTTTACAGGAAGCAATGACCAAAAAAAACGGAGAGGACTGGGAGAAGATCTCAGACACCCAAGGACACAGATTGCCACTAGAGTTGGTTCTTTCAAGGAATATTTTCTCTAACCGCTAAAACGGTCCAACACATAATCAGTATCTTGAATCCATTAAACAAATATTGAAGTCACGCTGGTGCCCTGGGAAAGATCCGCAACAGAGAAAGCTCTGGCCTCTGCTGTCCCCTCCTGCAGGGCTTGACAGCGCTTCCAAGACGCCCAAACGCCAACCACCAGCTCCCCCCAGTGCCTTCCTCTCGCAGCAAACCGCCAAGCCTCTCCGGCCAAACTCCAATGTCCCTCAATTCAAAACCGCGAAAATGTGAACCCTGCTAAGCAAACGGTAGGGCGCGTTAAAAACTTTTCTTTCTTTTCTTTTTACTCGGATATGGATGTTTGTCTCTAATACGCTGTCTTAGCTTCACGGCCCCTTTCCCGAAACTTACTTCGAAGGGAAGGGGGAAAGAAGCGTGGACCCCAGAGAGAGCTGGCAGTCCCTGGTGAGTTCTAAGACCCTATGGACTTTGACAGTGCCCTCAGCCCCCAAATAATTAGATGCAGACAAAGAAATGAGAATGCTCCTCTCCCCCACCTTACTTCATCCCACCCCTGCTAAAAGCAATCATAAAAACATGCAGCGGGCGTTCATTTGGAAACCCCGGGCCCTTCTATGGGAGATAAGGCCTGAAAAGCAAGTCGTCCGAGGTCTGAAGGAAAAAAGTTGCTGGCTATATGTAAAGTGTAAGCCATGGAGAGAGTGTACAGCACTCGGTTCCGAGTATGATGGGGGAAGGGGCCGAAAGGGAAAGAGATGGTATTTAATAAACTTTGCGCGCGGACATCTGCAGCCGCCGGGCAGTCAGCCGGGAGGGGGTGCCGGCGGCAGAGCCTGTACTTACATAACGCTTCAACTTTTTCTCCGGGGGAGATTTGCGGAGCCATCCCGAGTAGACCACTTCGCCGCCGCTCATGATGCGCGCCTCTCAAGCCCCGGGCCGGGCAGCTGAGGGGCTGGCGAGCGCGCTCCCGACACAGCCGACGCCTGCCGGCGCGCAACGGCGAGGTCCTGCTTAGTCTAGCTGCTCACTCTCCGCAGACGGGACGGGCGGGTTCACAGCAATCACTCGAGCGGTTCTCGCCGGCTTCCAGCGATCTAACCTTTCCCCGGCAGCTCCACAGATTTGAGCAGAAGCAGGCTGCTCCTCCGCTGCCGATCTCACTGCGCAGCTATCGTCTCGGAGTCGAGGGCGCTCCGGCCTCCCTTCAGTGTGTCCACCTCGCCACCGGGCGCGCCGTCCCTCCGGCTGCCTGAGCAGTGCTCTAGCTCAGCTGGGCCGGCGTCTTCGCAAGACTCTGTCCGGGCGAAGAGCCGGAGCCTCGGTGCCTTGAGCTCCGCCCCCTCGGGATAGAACCACCCCAGAGTGCTTTCCGAACACACCGCTGCACGCACACACAATGCCCCCGCTCGATGCCTACTCCCGCTCGTTCGCTCTCTATTTCGGTGCGCCCGGCGTGATCCCCTTCTTCCCCTTCCTTGGGGGAGGGCGGGTCACTTCTCCGCAGTGCCGGGGAAGCCAGGAGGAAAGGGGCAGCCGAGTGGCTCCCGAGCGCAGCGAGTGCACGGCAGGTCCCGAGTCGCGCAGGGAGCCGCCCAGTCGGCTGCGAAGCGCGGGGTGTTGATGGGCTCTAGGCGCTGGGGAGGGCGCTAGTCCCGCCGGAGGGTGGGTCCGCTCTCGCCGCCGCCGAAGAGGGCGGAGAACGAGAAGCTTGACTGCGGGGAGGTATCCCACTGTCCCGTCTCCTCGCGCTCCTCCCCCGCCTCCTCCCCCACCCCGGGGTGCTCTGCAGGTTCTGGGCAGCCCGGCCCCCAGCCCCGATCCCTCCCTCTCTCGGCTTCCCGGCTGCTCTTCCTCTCTTTCCTCCTCCCCTTCCCAGTTCGGGCCGGCTCCGGTTTTTGTCCAGACTTTCTCCGAAACTCCGCCGGAGCGCTCCAGCCCAAACAACAAGGGTTGGGGGAGGAGGAGATTGAGGGAGGGAGCGAGGGAAGGAGGGAAGCAGCCGGAGTCCGAGCGGCACCCTGGGATCTGTAGTTCAGAACGCTAGAGCGGGCTCTTTGGCTGCTGCCGGCGGTGTGGCCCGGTCCCCCAGAGTCTTCTTGCCCGGGAAGGCGGCGGAGGCGTAGACATGGGCCGTCTCGGCGGGGCTCAAGCGTGGGGAGGAGCGGAGAACGTATGAATGTTCAGTTCAGGGTTTGCCATCTTGCTAATGTCAGTTTGGAATATGTTCTGTGTGCTAGACCGGGAGTTTCGGGATTTTTTCCCTTCTTCTCTATTTGACAGCTGGCAAAAGAAAACAGCCCCGAGGGAGACCCCGGCGCCTAGAGGAGGCGGTGACTCCACCGGTCCCAGCCGGGAAAGACTACAGAGCCTGGACTAGGAGGGCCGGACAATGAGAAGCAAGGAAGCGCGCCATGGCGACATGTGGTGTTGGAGTGGGATGGTCCCTGGCAGCGCATAGAAAGTGGTGGGAGCATTTCATGGGGCTAAACGATTTGATTGTCTGGTACATTTTTTAAACCACATACTCACCCATGCGCTAGCAATTTCTTCTACTTTATCGTGTATTTACTTAAAAGCAATTCTGCCTGATAGGTTAGGCTCGAAAAGGGAAAATTTCTTTATGTGCTATTCTACTTGCCTTCTTTGTTTTGTGTTTTACAATTACATTACATGGTCCTGAGCTTAACATAATCCTGTAATATAAATATAATGCGTTTCCCAATTTATGCAAAGTAAAGCCCCCAAACATATTTTAGACTTGCCATCAAGTCTTTTCGACTCTTGCCCTCCTTAAGGTTCTCAACACTGACACTTCTGCTTCTGAGTGGATTCGAATTGCCAAGTTTTCATTCTAAGTGCCACCCAAGAACTCCCATAATTTTAGAAGGTAATACAAATAATCAGATGAAAGTTATAAAAGTTCTAAGTGAATATTTCTGGAAAGCTTAACCTTGGGCGTTTTCTTAAAAGATAATATTCACATTTAAAAGTTTCTCTGAGTTTCAAAAAGTACACTTTTATGGGGAAAGTATATTAGGTGCTTTGCACTCATGGAGCTCACATATTCTCTAGGTGGTAAGGAGCTCTGGTAGTGTAGTGGTTACGAATCGGGCTGCGAACCTTAAAGTCAGTGGTTCGAAACTACCAGCCGCTCCGCAGGAGAAAGATGAGGCTTTCTACTCCCGTAAAGATTTACACCCTCGGAAACCCTGTACAGGGTCGCTATGGGTTGGAACCGACTCGACGGCACTTAACAACAACATAGGTTAATAAACAAATAGAGTCAACAGAAGTAGAGATTGTGATAAATGTGCTGCTATGAAGGGAATGAACACAGAACAATGCTTGGAACTAAATCAGATAGGATGAGGAATGTGGAGGTATTTAGCAAGAGACTTGAAAGATGATGTGAAGAAAGGAGAATCAAATTTGGCATATGGAAGAATAAACAAGGTAACCATCAAGAGGACTACCCAAAGAATGGATAAGCAAAGAGGTTATTTCAGATATAGATCATCAGGTCTTTCTTCGAGGTGCCTCTGAGTGAACATGAACCATCAACCTTTTGGTTAACAGTAGCAGTCCCACACATTAACAGTTTGTACCACCCAGGGACTCCTGGTCAGTTCATAGCCCAAATGGAGTAAGCACAAATTTGACAGTTCAAAACCACCAGTTGGTCTGCCGAAGAAATACGAGGTTATCTACTCCTTTAAAAGCTTTCTACTCCCGTAAAGATTTACACCCTGGGAAACCCTGTACAGGGTCACTATGGGTCAGAACCGACTTGACGGCACTTAACAACAACTCCTTCAAAGAATTGCAGTCTTAGAAACATCATACAGGGCCCTATCAGTCGGAATCAACTTGATGGCAGTGACTCACTGCCATTGAGTCTATTCTGACTCATAGTGACTGAATTAGGGTTTCCAAGGTTGTAAATGTTTATGGGAGCAGAAAGCTTCACCTTTCTCCTGAAGAGCTGCAGACGGGTTTGAATTGCTAACTCTTGCAATGTCCAGTGCTTATCCTACAAAGCCCATGTGTGTTGTTATTAAGTGCCGTAGAGTTGGTTCTAACTCATAGCAAGTCTCTATGCTGTTGTTGTTATCTGCCGTGGAGTTGGTTCCTACTGGTAGCGACCCTGTACAGGGTTTCTGAGGCTGTAAATCTTTACGGGAGTAGAAAGCCTCATCTTTCTCCCATGGAACGGCTGGTAGTTTTGAACTGTTGGCCCTGAGGTTTGCAGCCCGATTTGTAACAACTACGCTACCAGACCTCCTTAGCAAGTCTCTGTGGGGTGTACGAAAAGCGGTTGGTGAGGCAGCTGGCCTTGCAGTTAGCAATCCAGAGCCTATGAATGGTGGTGGTAGTGGTTGTTTGTCACTGAGTCGTTCCAGCTCATAGTGACCCTGTCTGTATAGGGTTTCAGAGACTGTAAAACTTTATGGGAGCAGAAAGCCTCATCTTTCTCCCATGGAGCACCTGGTAGATTTGAACTACTGATCTTAAGGGTAGCAACCCAGTTTATAATACTCTATGCTACCAGGGTTTCTAGAAATGGTGATTAAAAAAAACAACCTCTGAGGAGGAAGCAGTTTAAATAAAATGAATGAGGAAGGAGTCTGAGGAAGAAGCAGGTGGTAGTATACTGGCAAGTCGGATCCAACTCATAGTGACCCTGTAATAGGGTTTCCAAGGCTGTAAATCTTTACAGGAGTAGAAAGCCTCATCTGCCTCCCTAGAAATCACTGGTGGATTCAAACTGCTGACCTTGTGATTAGCAGCCCAATCCATAACCCACTACACTACCAGGAAGAAGCAGAGAGGCTGCTAAATTGTTCAAACCCCAGGCTCCTGAACTGGCATACTGATAAATGATACCTGCATTACACAAGCATGAACAGCTTCACTCAGTAATTCTCGATTGGGTTAATATCTCAATTACTATAGTCATATCTGATAATACTATGAAAATAGAATTTATTTAAGTAAACTGGTAAGTAGCTTATTGGGAAATAAAGCTGGTGTTCTAATCCTATCTTCAACTTTCCTTCAGTGCATTGTTAATAGAAAAACAAAGTCAGAAGAGGTCTGGTTCTAGTGCGGATTAGAGCCCCTTGTCTTTTGACAGATGTTTTTGACAGGGTTTACCTCTTAGATCTGGATTCATTTTTCAGGTCATCAAATTTTGAAGTCATGACCTTGAGGAAATTAAATAGTGTCTAGAAGTTTTATTTCCCGATACATGTGAGATGTAATACCGAGAGTACAGGATTTTTATGAAAATTAGCAATGGTAGAATAGTAAATGCCAGGCACATATATAGATGCTAGAGGGTTTTGTTGTTTGTTTGTTGTTTTTCTTAAGTCCCAAGGCTTTTTTAGCATGCAAGTGGATATAATTTTCATGGCAACCAATAAGCCAAAGCCATTCTTTAATATATGAGCACAGATCTTGCCACAATTTCTCTAAACAAAAATCAATCATTCCATTGTATTTCATTTCTCCATATGCAGTGTGCATATACTTGTACACTGAGCCCAAAGAATCTATGATTAACATTGGTAAGGCTAATCTTCCACTGAATAATAACTGTTAGATTTAACAAGTTTGCCACTCCTTAGTATCAAGTTCTTTGTAATTGAATATTTGTGATGTATCATCTACCATTAGCTTTTGAATGTTCCTATATGTTTTTCCCTCTTATTTCAAATTAAAAACCAATCCTACTGCAATAGAATCTACTCCAACTCATATCAACCCTATAGGACCAAGTAACCTGCTCCTTTTGTTATTGTAAGTGCTGTTGAGTCGATTCTGACTCATAGTGATCCTGTCTAGGGTTTCTGAGAAGCAGCTGCTATGTTTGACCTGTGGACCTTGCAGTTTAAACTGACCTTGTGGTCTAG